AAGTATTTCTGTGTGTTTTAACTACCGAACGGAGACCGCAGTGCCAAAACACATGGAGCCTTTTTCGGATACTACCTCGTGTGCGGTCGGTCAAATTTCACCCTCCATCTAACTCCCGAACCCCTGGTCCGATCTGGGTGAATTTTGAATATGTTAGTCACCCAGATCGGGGCTCCAAGGGAGTACCCAGTATATCATTCTATATGCCTTGTAACGGATCGCCTGGCACCCCGACTGGGTACCTCCGTTGAAGGATGCTCCTAGCGCTTCCTGAGGACTCCAAGCACTCTTTTAATATATTGTCCTGCTGCTGGGGAGCGAGACCGACTGTCTCCGCTTCCTGCAGGACACACTGCCGCTGGGGAGGAAGTACGGCACCTTCAGCTCCCTGGGATACATACTGCCGCTGGGGAGGAAGGACGACACCTTCAGCTCCCTGGGATATACACTGCCGCTGGGGAGGAAGGACGGCACCTTCTGCTCCCTGGGGTACACACTGCCGCTGGGGAAGAAGGACGACACCTTTGGCTCCCTGGGACTCACACTGCCGCTGGGGAGGAAGGACGGCACCTTCAGCTCCCTGGGGTACACACTGCCACTGGGGAGGAAGGACGGTACCTTCAGCTCAGTGGGACACACACTGCCGCTGGGGGGGAAGGACGACACCTTCAGCTCCCTGGGATACACACTGCCGCTGGGGAGGAAGGACGGCACCTTCAGCTCCCTGGGACACACACTGCCGCTGGGGAGGAAGGACGACACCTTTGGCTCCCTGGGACACACACTGCCGCTGGGGAGGAAGGACAACACCTTCTGCTCCCTGGGGTACACACTGCCGCTGGGGAGGAAGGACGACACCTTTGGCTCCCTGGGACTCACACTGCCACTGGGGAGGAAGGACAACACCTTCTGCTCCCTGGGGTACACACTGCCGCTGGGGAGGAAGGACGACACCTTTGGCTCCCTGTAGCTCACACTGTCGCTGGGGAGGAAGGACGGCACCTTCAGCTCCCTGGGACACACACTGCCGCTGGGGACTCTCGCAGGACCAGTCTAGGAGGTCCGCTACCTCGGGTACCGCTGGTTGCTGTTGGGAAAGAGGACCGGCTGTCTCTTCCCGGGCCTCATTGATGAGTCGCAGGTAATCCCACTCCAGGTTCCATTCATTGGTGACCAAATACTGTATATCTGCCTCGAGGTCAATAGTGCTAGGGATTACTGTATAATGTGTCCCTTGCTGTATAGTCCAAAACCACCGCACGATGTCTCTGTGCAACAAATACTGGCGAGATGGCACCGTGTTGAAAAGTCCACACAGTGTCTGTGAGTTAAAATGGCCGCCTTCCATTGTTCTCACCATGTGCTTCTGATACAGGAAATGGTAGCCACCCAGTAACTCCACAGTATGTCCCCAGATGGTTCTTAAAAGGGCCAGCAGCAGCACAACACAAATCCATTATGCCCAAATCATGTCTTTAAAGGGCAATACATCCCAGGGGCCATAGTCACATGGCAGGAGGCTGGCAACCAGGCTAATTAAAAATCAAGGCGGGCAGGACTGGCGAGGGAGCACTGATTAGTGAGCTGTCTCTGCTCAGCTCCCTCGCGCGCAGCAGAGTGATGCCGGGAGCCAGAATATGATGTCATATTCCGTCTCCCGGCATCATTCTGCGGCGCGCAAGGGAGATGAGCAGAGAGCTCACAAATCAGTGCTCCCTCGCCAGTGCTGCCCATTCCCCTACCTGGATTTCCCCCCTGGAAAGTGCCGCCCAAGGCAAATGCCTTGTTTGCCTCGCGGCAAATACGTCCCTGGGAACAGGGACACTATAACATTAGGAATTCCTAACACTATAGTGTTCCTTTAATTTCCCCTCCCTCTTGCTTACCTTTGAATGCCAATCCCTGCATGGTCAGATGGAAGGAGAAAATGGTCTTTACTTCTGGTTTGTGACGAGAAATCACTGAGAAGGTGGAATTTGCAACTTGGGTGCAGACCAAGTGTTCCTTTGGACCCCAATATCATAGTGTGCTGAGCTGGACAGGGAGTTCTAACATTAATTAGAATGGCCTCTTTGAGCCAGCACTCTAGTGTTGACCCTGCTGGGGAAATCCTTGATCTCCCAGTCAGCCTCTGTCCATGGCCAACATAACCCAATGGCAGCAGCGTACCTACCGCGGTCGCAGGGGTCGCAGCTGCGACCGGGCCCGCCACTCCAGGGGGAGGGGTAATAACACTGTAGGGATAGGGGTATTAGAGACTATGACTAAGGGTATTAAGGACTAGGGGTATTAAGGCTGGGGTAGGAGTATTAACACTTTAGGGGTATTAACACTGTAGGGGTAGGGGTATTAAGGACTAGGCGTATTAACACTGTAGGGGTTGGGGTATTAAGGACTAGGGGTAGGGGTATTAACACTGTAGGGGTAGGGATATTAAGGACTAGAACTAAGGGTATTAAGGACAAGGGGTATTAAGGACTAGGGGTAAGGGTATTAAGGATTAGGGGTAGGGGTTTTAAGGACTAGGGGTAGGGGTATTAAGGATTAGGGGTAGGGGTATTAAGGACTATAAGTGCCCCAAGTCCTTCACTTACCTTTTGTGAGATGGGCTTTCCAAGGGTTCTTCACATCAAGCTTACACAATATGCCATTTTTAAGCAAACCATGTGCAGTCTTACGGAAAATACCAGGCTACTGACACAAACATGTAATCGCTTCACTCTACATATGTTCACACTAAAGTTCAGCATGTTTTCCACATGTTTATCATAATATAAAATTGTGCACGTTCATTATACTACCCCAATTGTAAAGCTTGATAAGATGCCAGAGGACTGCTGTTGGAGTACCTCAGGCTTGTATGTACCTATCTTATGCACTGCAAAACAAAAAAGAAAAAAGAAGATAGGAATGAAGGAAATAAAAATAGAGTACAAAAAAATTGAGAAAAAAATAGGGTACAGGATAACAGACCCCTGGGTCCCAGGGTAACAGATATCCCTCAAGATCCATAGATGTGGGTATCCTCATATCCCAAAAAATAATAAACAAATAAATACTGTAAAAATTACTTAAACATTGTCAGACCTTTAACTGCGGGGCAAGCAATAGCCAGACCCGCAGTCATAGGTGTGAGAGGTTTCTTGTTTTGTTCCTGCATTGCCAGCTTCCTTGTTACCTTTGTCTTATTTTTCACTGACACAGGGTGTTGACTCTGGATGTAATCGGATATGTTATTCACCACTGCTCTCAATCCCACAGTGAATGGGATTTGTTCACTAACAGTGAACTGTAGGGAAGTGAAAACCAATATGCAAAATTTAGGACAAAATTGATTAGGAAAAACATATGCTAAACATGCTGTAGATACTAATTGGTTATTTTAGCTTGAATTTTGTGGTTCTGTTTTAGTTTATGACAACTCACTGTTCAATAGTTTAGTTCTATTAAAGGAACATATATATTATTTCTTATGTTAGAGTGATCTCTGGGCTATTTATATAAACATAGTTACATCTATAGTTTGTAATCCAAAGAGTTAACCATTCTGATGTTAGTAGAGACTAACCCTCAAAATCCCAATATCCAGCTGGTCATTTTCACAGTGTCCTTGGTGATTAACGGAGTAAATCAGGGGTGCCCAAAAGGTAGCTCCCCCATAATGCTTCATCATACTAAAGACATGTAAAGCATCATGGCAGTTGTAGTTCTGCAACATCTAGGAATCTACTTTTTGGGCACCCCTGTGTTAACTACACATGTCCAGATGTTTGTACTGATATTTTCTGGTTATTTTAACCTTTTAGAGTGTAAATTCCATCACAAGGGGTCTATAGTCGTTGGATAGCCCACAAAACTTTCTGCATATCATATTTTACAATGGACAGAGCAGTGAAAGCGTTAACATGCTGTGGAATGCATTATGCAATGTTTCTTCCAGACACAGAATCCTATTGGTCAGTTTAACTATAGAACTGCATTCTACTAAGCACGGTGTGTGACTCGGCTTACGTTACACACAAAACACTACACAACCCTTCGTAGATCTACGGAGCTCAGAGCCAAACATGGGCTCAGTAAAGGGGTGGATCTGTGTAGTACTGGTGGGAATTCTGGGATATCTTTATATGGAAAGTTTCGACCCTGGTAAGACTCCAAATCTATACAATTGAAAACAAAGCACACCATATCTTCATTGAAATTAGGAAAGATTGTTTCTTTTTTTTGTAAAATGATTACTGTATTCATGGGGCTACACACATGTTACTATGTAATAATTACTGTTTCTCCGTCCTACATTGGTGACTTTTCTTACTCGTTTACTTTACAAACTTGCCAGAGTAATCCACTTTTTTTTTTTTTTAATTTCTTTCTGATTTTCTTTTGCTGTTTTTCCTGATGTTTTTACTGTTCATGACATTTACAAAATTAAAACATAAAAATAGTAATATCAAAAAGGGAAAAAAGTAAAATTTTTATGTTTTTTTTAATGCTTTAAACAAAAAGGAAGAACGAGTTAATTAACTGCTTACCTGACACCTAACTTGCCAATCTCATAATTGTGGTTGCTCTTATTGTTTACACATTGGAAATAATACATTTAAGAACAAAAATGGGAAAATAAAATGACAGAAGAGATGCAAGAAATTTATCTGCACAAATAAGGGATAATTCGGCACAAATACTAAGCACAAAAAAACATAAAAAGTGAACATAGCACTTTTTATATATGGTCTGCACTGTTTCTAAATGCCACTTGCCAGATACTCTTCTGCCATAGTGAAAAAGGCACCCAGATCTCTTAATCTCAATGAAGTTGTCTGGGTCAGTGACGGGAACTATCTCCAGTGCAACTCCATCGGCACCTGCAGGTTTTGGGGGCACATCAGGTAACCATCTATTTAGGACCACCTGATAGGCAGGCCCTTTTAATATTGACGGGCAGTGCTGGGAGAAAGTGAGAGTCTGTCACTTCCTCATAGTTTACAGACCACACAAAGGAGGCACAGAAAGGACAGGAGAGCACAGCAGACAGCATCAGACTCCCATCATTCTCAAGCAGCCCAGGAAGCCAACCTCCTCCACCCATATTGTATGAAAGCAGGGGGTTGGCTAAAAATATGCAAATTGTAACTTGTGTGTGTATCTGTGCGTCAGTGTGGGTATCTGTTTGTGTAGGTGTTTATGTCAATGTGTGTACATATGTACAAGTATCACTGTGTTTGTTTGCATATGTTTATATGTGCATACATCCCAGCATTCACTTAAACATCGATTATACAGACAAAAACAACCCTCCAATCAAACGCCAACACCACATTCAGTCAAACGCCAACACTACATACAAACACACCTCTGTATTAAAATGCCAACATTATATTATACACAAAAAAAACTACATTCAAACACCAAACCTACACACAAATACACCCCTTCACTCAAACACCAACACTACATACAAAAACTTTGCTGCATTCAAACACACTACACACAAGTACGCCACTGCTTTCAAGTGGCAACAGTACATACAAACACACAACTGCATTAAAATGCCAAAACTACACACAAATACTCCATCCAAAACCATGCTTAAATTCAAACACACAAACATTGCCCCCATTTAAAACCAGACCCGGACTCGCCATCGGGTAAATGCCCAGTGGGCCACGGTGGCCATGGGCCTAGGCCAGCAGGGGAGATTACAGGATCTCCCCTGCCGGTCCGTGCAGGGCCGGCTCTATCCGAGCGCCGGCCCTGCTGCATTCCATGACAGACCGGTGGAGAGATTCATGATCTCCCTCACCGGCCCACATGTAGTGTATTGCAGCCGCCGGCGGGGGAGAGAGGGAGTGAGACAGGAGAGGAACCCAGAGGAGCTCTATCTTGCAGCTCCGCCAGGTCCTCTCGCGAGATTTGGAGCATTCCCACTGGCTAGAGTTCACTCACCAATAGGATGGCATGGCAGCAGCACAATCCCCCCTCCCAGGCTAAAGGTTAGAAGGGAGGGGGGATATCATCACACACACACTGCAGGTTGACATTCACAGCATCCTCACTCACACACACACTGCACCCCTGACACTCACAGCACCCTCACTCACACACACACACACACACACACACACACACAGCACTCTTACCCACACAGCACCCTCACACACACTGCACTCATCTTCCACACACACATCACCCTAACACACACACACTGCACCCCTGACACTCACAGCACCCTTACACACACACATACACACACACACGCTGCACCCCTGACACTCACAGCACCCTCACACACACACACTGAACCCCTGACACTCACAGTACCCTCACTCACACACACACTGCACCCCCGACACTCACAGCATCCTCACTCACACACAAACACACTGCACCCCTGACACTCACAGCACCCTCACTCACACACACACACTGCACACCTGACACTCACAGCACCCTCACTCACACACTGCACCCCTGACACTCACAACACCATCTCACACACACACACACTGCACCCACACACACAGCTTCCTCAAACACACATAGCACCCTCACGCAAACACAGCACCCAGCACACACACACTATACCCCTCACACACACAACACCCTTACACACACTACACCCCTCACACACACACTGCACCCCTCTTGCACACAAACCACAACCCTTACACACACACATCACCCTCACACACACACTGCACAATACTCTTTCCTGGTATTTTTATCTCCTGGTATCCCATCTATGGAGACACTAGAGACAAATTTCAAGCAAACACAGTGCAAGCATGTTATTAAATTTGCTTGCGCTGTGCAGAACAAATACAAGGTCTTTTTCTCATGCTAGATCTCTTCAGCAGAGCTCTGCGCATGGTATGCCCTGGAAGAGCATTGAACCAACATGCTCACTTTGTGATGGGGCGTGCTTGTCATTGGTGATGACAGAACAAACCCTATCTGTCCCCGCCCCCTTTTTAGTGTGTCGCTGTAATAAAAAAATGCTTGGCCGAATTTTCTTCCCCGTCCGGCCCTGGATAAAACCCTTTAAGTATGGGCAGATGGTACATCCCCAGCTGGTAGCGCATCATGGGAGATATACGACAGATGGGAATCTACCTTTTGGCCGTCCTTGAGTTGGGAAGAGGGGGGAATTTTTTGTACAAGGACCCTCTCTATATTAGTTCAGCCACTGGTCTGGGTGCCATGCCCCCCTCATTTTAACCCTTCAGCGTACAACTTTACATCTAGTGGCTGTCACACTGACCCACAAGAGCTACTTCTGAAGAAATGGCCAAGTAAAACTTGGCAAGTTCTACCAGGTGATCTCATAGAGACCATCCGATTGATTCATGGTGGCGTCTTGCAGTGTGCATGCACACTATCCTCCCAATGCTTTCCTAAGGGTCTTGATGATCTCAACCAAGGAGACGAGGCCAGCTGTGGACAGAGCAGTTTAAACTCTTGGGGGTGGTCACCTAAACAATGACTAGTACACGATAGTGTTAGGAATACACTAGTTTTTATTCCTAATGCTATAGTGTTCCTTTAAGAGAATTTAAGTAAACAATAATAATAAAAATATGTTTATGTGTTGAGACAAATGTGTGGAGCCAAGTATTTTCTTTTAGATATTAAAAACAAACAAACTGTACTGTGATTAATTATTTGAAATCCTATCCTTTTCTGTCACAGAAAGCATTGCCAATGCCAGGGTACTAGTCACTGGGGCAAGCACAGGCATCGGAGAGGAGATAGCGTATCACTATGCAAAGGCAGGAGCCCAGCTGGTTATAACAGCAAGGAGGGAACAAGCACTGCAAAAGGCAAGTAACCCCATACATTATAAAAGCTGTACAAAATGTATCCTGAGAACAAGGTACAATCTAAAAGAAAATGGCTGAAGATTGTGTGGAGACTTGAGATCTTGACTTTACCTCCTTCATGATGAGCTAGTCCCTTATTTTTCTCCCATTATTTAATTTAATTATTATTCTCCCTCTTACTCGTTAATTCTGAATATATGGCATGGTATGTTATTTGGTTGTTAATGAGTTCACAGTCAGTTCTCTACAACAAAAGCAACAATATGAATACCGTATATTATTATTATTATTGCCATTTATATAGCACAAGCGTATTCTGCAGCGCTTTACCATTTTATAAAAAGGGGAAATTCAAGAAATGAGGGGTTGCCACGGCAGGGCAAAGAAGAGAGTTGAAGGTATCCAAGAGATGCAAGGGATTGTGGGAGCATATAAACTAATGAGAGAGGAAAAGTATGACTGTTTAGCAAGGGTGAGGGCTACACTGTATGAACGCAGGATGAATTTAAAATGGCAAAAGTCTGACAAGGTGTGAAACTCCCTCCAGTGGCGTTCGGTTGAACGGGAGCATCTCTGCAGGTAGCATGTTGCCTTAGTGTGCCACTATTGGAGGCATATCCTCCTTGAGGTGTATGTTTGGGGCAGGGCTGCAGCGCCCAGAGCAGTGGTGAAGATAGCATTATATGAGGAGATAGCCAGAGAGGGACAGAAAAAAAGTGGATGAGAGTTGAGAACGGACGGAGGTCAAGTTCAACTCGTTCAAGTATTAGCTATCTTTACCGACAGCTTTCTATATGCCTGACCACATTGGGGAAATGGTACTGCAATTAGGTTGCTTTAAAAAGTGCTCTACTAACATAAGCAAAATAGGTTTTTTAAGTAACAAAGAGAGTTTGCTATATATATTAAAATGCGTTTTTTTTTTTTTTTTTTTAGAAATTAGTAAATACAGTTAACAGTTCTAGCCACAACAAATTTAGCCCATTCTCACAACACCATCTTATTCACTGCAGGTGAAGGCAAAATGCCTGGAACTTGGAGCAAAGAATGTGTCTCTGATTATTGCAGACATGGGAGAGCCTGTGGATCGGGAACAAATATTGGAGAAGGCTGTTACTGTGCTGGGTGAGTATTTAATCTATTAATGCGAGTAAGGTGTACCAATTTAGATTAACTAGAAAAATAATAGGAAGAAATCCTCTCGTATAGAGACGAGGGGAATCCTCCTACCAGTACTACCCCTAGAAAGACATATATACAGGCTTGTAGAAAACAAGATATGTATAACTAAATTTAGATTAACCCCTTAAGGACCAAACCTCTGGAATAAAAAACAATCATGACATGTCACACATGTCATGTGTCCTTAAGGGGTTAAATACCATGGAGCATATTTTTTTTTACAGTGTATATAAATAGGGAGAGATTCCTATTCCACTAAGGTAAAAAGTAATTTTACCAGCATAGGAAATGTTATTTTAATATAGATGGACATCAGGACACTTTTGTATGTGTGCTTCTAATTAACATAGTAAGGCCCCCCCAAGCCCCTCTCTCTGCCCAAAGGTAAGAAGAAGGGAGGGGGATATTAAAGGGACACTAATGCAATGTTAGCTTAATGAAACAGTTTTGATGTATAGATCATGCCTCTGAAGTTTCCCTGCTCAATTTATTGCCATTTAGGAGCTAGATTACTTTTGTTTCTGTTTATGCAACTCTAGCCACACCTCCCCACACAACCTGCACTTATTTTAAAAGTTTTTATCTCCTGCTCTGTAAATTAAACTTTAATTGCATACAGGAGGCACAGTTAGCTATTAACAGAGTAGGAGATAAGAAATTCTAAATTAAACTGAATTTGCAATAAAGGAAGTGTAAACATTTGATGACTCTTTACAGGAAGTATTTAGGAAGGTGTACCTAGGGTTTCAGAAACAAAGTGATTCAACTCATAAATGACACAGAACTGAGCAGGGTCATGATCTAAACATCCGAACTGCTTCATTAAGCTGAAGTTGCTTCGTGACTATAATGTCCCTTTAAACTTAATTTTCAAAGTATCATTAATTTAAAAAATAAAGTAAAATAATATTTCTATATATTATATCTGTCATGAATGCACCCTACTCCAAGAGTGTGCGTGACGTAGTTGTGGTGGCGAAGGGGTTAAAGTTCACTATTTGTCTGCACTAGACTGGAAATAATTACAAAATCCCTCTTAACACCACCCACATTTAAACATAATAGTATAACTATTACTATTTTAACGCTGCCACCACCAAGGCAATTTATAAATGGGGTCCCTTTTCCCCCAGGTAAATTAATTATAAAAACCCAACAAATATTACTTAGCACAATATCTATGTGACTGTAAAATACTAATTAGTCTCTTCAGGTAACGTGATTCTTTACAAGACAAAGGCAGAACTTAATAATGGAATGTTTATTATGAGTAAAAAAATGAGCAAAAAAATAGTCACAGTGCATACAAAAATATAGATGATAAACCAATTATTTACAGATAAAAACAAAAGGGATAAAGTAACAGAAGTCCTAATCACTTACTCAGCTCTTCAAAGTAAATACTTCTGCTGCAGGTGGTCTCTGCTAGGAAAGATGGTGACTCACTTAGAATTATATTCTGGCCCCAAATAAGTACACCCAGGGCCGGCGCTACCTGAATGGACAGGGGGGGTAAATTGACAGGGAGGGGGGAATTGACAGGGAGGGGAACTGACAGGGGGGTGAAATGAATGAGAGGGGGTGAATTAACAGGGGGGGGAAATTGACAGGGGAACTGACAGGAGGTGAATTGACAGGGAGGGGAAAGAAATTCACAGGGTGGGTGGGAAGAAATTGACAGGGAGGGGAATTGACGGGGGAGGGAGGGAGAATGAGAGTGGGGAGGGGAGAAGAGAGTGACAACGGGGGAGAAGAGAGTGACAAGGGAGGGGGGAGAAGAGAGGGACAAGCAGGGGAGAAGAGAGTGACAAGGGAGGGAGGAGAAAAGAGGGACAAGGGGGGGAGAAGAGAGGGACAAGGGAGGGAGAGGGGGGAGAAGAGATTGACATCCATCACACACACACAATGCACCCCTTACACACAAAGACAATGCACCCCTTGCACACAGAAAAACACACAATGCATTACACACACAGACACACACACATAAGCAATGCAACCCTTACACACAATGCATCCCTTACACACACAGAAACACACAATGCATTCCTTACACACACTCAATGCACCCCTTACAGATGCACACACTCAATGCATCCCGTACATACACAGAAACACACCTTGCAGCCCTTACACATACAAACACAGATTCACACAATGCATTCCTTACACACATATCCGGACATCCCCCTACTCCACCCCCTGTGAACAAACTCATTGGTGGAACATGAAAGTGGACCCTGGGACCCAGACCTTGAGCTGTGTAAAGGGCCTTAAAAAAAATGGAGCTGCTTCCCATTCTCCCAGAACATTGATTTTTGTGACCACAGTTACAAACAGCCTCCAGGGAGCCTGTTCTACACCAGACCAGTGGAGCCAGAATGCAGCTAGAGCCCATCATCGTCCTCATCTGGTTGTAAGTAGGCAATCTAGTATATTATTCGTGGCACTAATCTCTAGTCCCCAGAACCACTTCAGCTTAATGTAGTGGTTCTGGTGTCCATAGCCTGTCCCTGCAGGCCTTTTAATGTAAACACGGCGGCACTGCAGCACTGGCGTTAGTTAACATGGCAGATCATATGGGTGGGGCATTGTGATGTCACATGGGGGGGGCGGCAAACTTTACTTTTGCCTAGGGCGGCAAAAATCCTTGCACCGGCCCTGAGTACACCAAAATGATGCACCCTTGCCGTGACAATATTTATTTTGTTATTCAGTTGCTCCCTTCTCATCCCTACCCCCAACACACAATAAAGGCACCAACACATCCACACACTGCACCCTTCAGAAACACTGGATCCCCTACACACCTTAGTTTCCCCATAGACACACACACAACATCCTTGACACAGAGAGTAGATTCCTGACACACACAGTGCATCTTATATACACACTATGAATTCCTTACAAACTCACTAGATACCCTACAGACACACACTGCACCACCTACACACACAGTACATTTCTTACACACTAAGCACACCTTATGCACATACCAGATCGCCTAAACATACACTCTTTACAGCCCCTATACAAGCACTTCATCTCCCTATACACACATACACTACAGCCACTATGCACACACTTGCTACAGCCCCTATACACTCTCTACTGCATACAGACATGCACACACAACACAACTTCAACAAATGTATTTACTCAATACACCACACCACAAACAGCTCACTCTACACACACACAATACCACAATTAGCCACCAAATGCATGCACTGTACTCACTCATGGCATTTTAGTCCTCTGGTATCCCACTTATTTAGACACCAGAGACAAGTCCCAAGCAAACATAGCGCTACACATTACACAGCATCTTTTTCCCATGGAAGAGCTCCTTAACAGGAATCTGTGCATGGGCTGCCCTGAAAGAGCATTGAACTAATTGCTCACTTTGAGTGGACGTGCTTGTCATTGGGGATGACATAACATGCCCCTTCTCTGGCTCCGCCCCCTACCAGTAGGCCTCTCTGATTAGAAAATGAATTTCTTTCCCAGTCTGGCCTTGCATCTGTGGTACTATTGCAAAAACATAGGAGGTAGTGTAGGTTGGGAGGGAAGAAAGGAAAAGACACAGAAAATGGGGAGAAGGAACATTTAAAAAAAAAAAATGAATGTAGATTTAAAAAAAGAAAATAGCTAACTAATTGTAATGTTAGCAACATTTCATTTTAAAGATGCATATTGTTACCTAGTGTACTTTGTTCTCAACAGAGATTAAACAAATCTATCTACATTCTAGCACACCTGTTGTTTTGTCTAAAGTCTAACTATGCTGCTATATCTAACTAGGAAGAAGTTTATTAATAAAAGGGATATCTAACCAAGTATATGGCCAGTATCGCTGTTGCGAAAGATTGATTCTCATCTACTGGGAGATACAAATGATTGCCTATGATGCAAGCCTAGTTGAAAATGTTTGAAGAAGTTAAAGAAGTGACCTATGAGCAAAATTTATGGAGAATGCAATGTTTACATGACACATTTCAAGAACTGAAATATCCCACACACAAACAACACTGTTATATACATCAGAGTCAACACTATATAAGTGTGTAATAAAGATGTGCTTAAGGATAGTTTTTAATACAGTTCATAAGTACACTGATTTCAAATTGGAAATATTCTTGTACACCCATGCCACAATCAATTACTTGCCACTGCTTAAAGTTACATGCATCACTTGACAATTATTTTTTCATCAAGCAAACACTTTTAAACAAATCTACAAACTAAAATACATCAATATTGTGACTGTGTGATGCTGCCTGTGACCGTGTGTGTGTGTGTGACTGTATATGTGACTGGCTGTAACTGTGTGCATGACTGTCTGGCCACAACTGTGTGTGACTGCTTGTAACTGACTGTGTGTGTTACTGTTTGCCTGTAACTGTGTGTGTGACTGAATGTGACTGTATGTCTGACTGTCTGCATGTGACTGTGTGCGTGTGACTGTCTGCCTGTAACTGTGTGTGACTGTATGCCTGTAAGTCTGTAGGTACAGGCTATACTCACCAGAACAATTACATTAAGTTGTAGTTGTTCTGGTGACTATAGTCTCCCTTTAACACTTCAAATTGTGTGTGTGACTATCTGCCTGTAACTGGGAGTTGTGGGGTGCAGGGGTTTGTAGGAGAGGGGAAAGACAGGGGTTTTGTAGAATAACTGACAGGGGGGTTTAACACAGTTTACAAATTTGTGCAATACATTAAAAAATAAAAAACATGTAAATAAAATAAATTCAGGTGTTTTTTCCCCCCATTTTTTTGGAGTGGAGCAGGGGGTGCCAAACACAGGACTCGCCCCATGTGCCAAATGCTCTAGATATGCCCCTATTATTTTGCCTCACTTTTGCTATATGAATTGACGTTCTCAGCCAATCACTTAGTTTTCCCATAAGAAATCAATGTATCTCTATGGGGAAAGCACACTGTGCAGCACTGACCAAGGAAGCACCTCTAATGACTGTCTAAGGAGTGGCCACTGAAGGTGTTCCTAGACTGTAATGTAAACACTGCCTTTTTTCTGAAAAGGCAGTGTTTACATTAAAAAGTCTGTAGGTACAGGCTATACTCACCAGAACAATTACATTAAGTTGTAGTTGTTCTGGTGACTATAGTCTCCCTTTAACACTTCAAATAGTAATGGAGCCCTCACAAGTTCTATATTATTGAAACGATATACACAAAAAGCAGGTAATACAGCACATTTTAAAATAAACAATCACATATTCCAATATGATATTTTATCTCTCTGCAGGAGGTCTAGATTATCTGGTGTTAAATCACATTGGTTATACCCCATTTCAGATGTGGGAAGGAGATGTGAGTCATGCTCGCTGGTTAATGGAGGTATGTGTGCAGGGCCGGTGCAAGGATTTTTGGCTACACAGGCGAAGATGCATTTTGCCACACCATTCCTCTTTACCCCAAAAATGCATCTTCACCGGTGTCTCATAAATCCCCTTTTGAATTTCTTACCCCCTTTAGTGTATTGTATCCCCTGTTTAGTCTGTCCTATACTCCCTTGGTATGTCTCATGCAACCCTCTTCTTTCCTACAGCCCTTTTCTGTGTGTCTCTCCCCACAGCCCTTTTCTGTGTGTCTCTCCCCACAGCCCTTTTCTGTGTGTCTCTCCCCACAGCCCTTTTCTGTGTGTCTCTCCCCACAGCCCATTCTCTTCCCTACCCACCAGGGCCCTTTGTGTGTCTTTTTCCACCCAAATATATACATATAGCAACACACACAACCATACAGGCACACTGTCACAGAGATATGCAGGCACAAAATTAAACATAGTCATACAAACACAGACATACAGACACACACATAGACACTGTCATATAGAGAAATACAGACACAGTTATACAGAGATATACAAACACAGACATAGACACAGTCATACAGAGACATAAAGATGCAGTAATATAGAGACATAAAGATGCATACAGTGACATACAGAATAAGGCACACATAGACATATGAACAAAGTCCTACAGAGACATACAGGCATGCAGAGACATGCATACACAGACATATAGTCACACAGAGATATACAGAACAAGACATACAGAACAAGGCATACAGAGACATTCAGATACAGTCATATAGAGACATACAGAACAAGGCATACAGATACATTCAGATACAGTCATATAGAGACATACAGACACAGGCATACACACACAATCATACACAGACATATAGTCATACAGACAAAGGCATACAGAGCAGGGGTAGATCCAGAACCTAATGTCAGGAGGGGAACTGGTAGTGGGTTGTAGTGGGGGAGGGCAGGGGCTGTAGTAGGGGGCTATGGCCTGTAGTGGGGAGGGCAGGGGCTGTCATGGGGAGGGCAAGGGCTGTAGTTGAAGGCGAGAGGCTCTAATTGGGTAACAGGGGCTGTAGAAGTGAGTTAGGGGCTGAAGTAGGTTGATGATAGTAAGGTGCTGCGTGTGGGGGAATAGAGGCTGTAGTGGAAGGGATGTGTAGTAGGGGAGTTAGGGACTGTAAAGAGGAGCACAGGTGCTGTAGAAGGGGGGACAGGGCTTATAAAGGGGGGACAGGGACTGTAGAGGAGGGGGACAGGGGTTGTAGGGGGGGGCAGGGGTGTAGAGGGGGGCCATGGGCAGCAGGGGGAGGCAGGTGCAGCATAGGGGGGGACATGGGCAGCATGGTGAGAACAGGGTCTGTAGAGGGGAGGACAGGAGTAGTATAATACAGGCAGGGTCTGTAGAGGGGGGGACAGGGGTTGCTTTAAAAAAACACACACAAAAACCCTTTTGACTAAAAAAAATACAATCTAAAAGGTATCCCCCCCCCCCCCGACGCTTACCTTGGGCCAGAGAGGGGGGAATCAGGTGGGAACCCTGGTGATTAGGTGGGACGGGCCAGACAGGAGCTGGAGGCAGGAGATTCACTAAAGCAGTGGAAGTCATGCCCCCTCCTCTGACATCATCAGAGGAGGCCAGTTGACTTTACTGCCAGTTACCTGCTCTGTGCTGGCTGCAGGGAGAGCGAGGTGATTTGGATTTTTGCACACCCCCGAATACCCCACATGTACAGGTTTTATGGTGTTTTGGAAAGTTACAGGGTTACAGGATCAATATGGGGCTTGACCAATTCCGTTTGCCAGATTGGTTTGCTGGGTCTGTGTTGCCTTTTCTGACCATATGGTAGCCCAGGAATGTGAAATAACCCCACCATGGCATACCATTGTCAAATGTAGATAACCCAGGGTATTCCAAATGGGGTATTTCCTACTTAGTCACAAACGCTGGCCAAAGTTAGCGTTCTTATTTGATTTTTATAAAAAAAAATGTTATACACAAACTGCACTTTTATTGGTGATTTCATCATCATGATAGGTTTCACTGTTGTAAACACTCATATTTGTGTTCAGCGAAGTCTCCCGAGTATAACAATAACCCCCATGTACAGGTTTTATGGTGTTTTGAAAAGGTACAGGGTCAATAAGGCTTGCCCAGTTCAGTTTGCCAGATTGGTTTGCTGGGTCTGTGTTGCCTTTTCTGACCATATGGTAGCCCATGAATGGTAAATAGCCCCATCATGGCATACCATTTTCAAATGTAGACAACCCAGGGTTTTGCAAATGGGGTATTTCCAGTCTTTTGTAGTAGCCACTTAGTCACAAATGCTGGCCAAAGTTAATGTTTTTATTTGTTTTTTATAAAAAAAAAATTCCCAATGCTTGGGTCTCCGGCAGTCCCCCCCGACCGTGATCGCCACGGATCGCCGGCCCAGGTAAGTCCAGGGCTCCTATTTGCCAAGGTTGTACTAGGTACCGCCGCGGTCCTTAACGTCTGTTTTTTTGTCGAACGTACATAATACGTCCACGGTCGTTAAGGGGATATACATAGATATATATATATAATTTCATTCTAAGTGTATTTTGATATATAAAAAAAAAAATATATATATATATATATATCTATATTAATATCAAAATACAGTTAGAATAAAGTAACACATATATATAATTTAAAAAACCTTTTTACAGTTTTTTTATTTTTAATTATTATTTATTTTTATAATACATATACACAATATATATAGTTATTATATATATTATATATATGTGGGTAATTTTACTCTAAGTGTCTTTTTATATTAATATATGTATATATTAATTAAAAAATACACTTAGTATGACGTTATATATAAGATATATATACATATTATATATAGATAATATATATATACATATATATATATATATATCTCATATATACATATATATATATATATTTTTTAATTTATTACCTTTTATTTTAAAAAAATTTAAAAAAACTTTTTTTAACTTTTTCACCAGCATGAGGACTGCCTGTCAGTTCAGGCAGCCCCCCTGCTGGTGAAAAAGTAAAAAAAGTTTAAAAAATAAAAATAAAAATAAAAGGTAATAAATTAAAAAATATATATATTTTTGGTGGATACCTGCGGCCATGTGACCGCTCTTTTAGAGCGGTCACATGGCCCCTGGGGGTCCTAAATTTCAGAGGGGAGACTCTCTGGGCTCATCCCAGACAGTCCCCCCTAAGAAGAAGACCGATCGCCGGCAGGGGTACTGCAGCGATCGGTAAGTACATGGGGAGGGTATGGGTTAATTATTTTTTTAAATATATATTTTTTTTAATTATTATTGTTTTTTAATAGTTACTGATTGCCTCGACCCTTCGAAGCATTCAGTACATGCAGAGCATCGGAAGCCTGCCTGATGGCTTCCGATGCTCTGCTTCACTGCCAGGCTCCACGTGGAGCAACCCTGAAGTGATTGTTCCGGGGGGAACGATCACCCAGTGTTCTCCGGCGGCGACCGGCAGTGAGGCATCGCTGCAATACCATTAGAGCTGCTGGAAGCGATTATGATTGCTTCCAGCGCTCTAATTCCCCTCAGATGTATCAGGTTCGTCCGCGGTCCTTATGGACCCTTTTTTGTTGACATAACTGATACGTCCTTGGTCCTTAAGGGGTTAATATGTGGCTCCCTCTTTTTCAAGGGATTAAACGTATTTGGACATTTGACTCAAGAGCTGTTTCATGGACAGGTGTGAGCTATTCCTTCATTATTTCTGTTGGGAAATACAACAGCATGTACTGCATAATATGTATATTATCAGCACTTGAGCTGTAGATGGCACTGTGCAGTTCAGAGTACTGCTCATATATGATATGAACTTGTTGGCACTCACAGGAAGGAAGTTCTTTGGTTTTTTTTTTACTTGCTTAATGTCTCTCTTCATTTAACTTTCACCCTGCTGGCTGCTGTTTCAAGTAACTGATATGTTATAAATGTTTGCTGTTTATCCACACAAGTAAAGCCTAATATGCTTCTTCACAATCTGCCAGTGTCTCTTTTTGATGTATAACCAACAATGTCTTCATCAATTAGGCAGGTAAAAGGTCTAGAGTTTATTTCAGTTGTGGCATTCGCATTTGGAAGCTCTTGCTGTGAACCCACATGTGATAAAAGGATCTCTCAATGCACATGAAACAGGCTATCCTTAGGCTGCAAACAAAATGCAAAAACATCCGAGAGATAGCAGGAACTTTAAGAGTAGCCAATTCAACAGTTTGGTACATTCTGAGAAAAGATTTAACGCACTGGTGAGCCCTGCAACACAAATAGGCCTGGTTGTCCAAGGAAAACAACAGTAGTGGATGATTGTAGGATCCTTTACATGGTAAAGAAAACACCCTTCACAAAATCCAGACAAGTGAAGAACACTTGGACAGATGAAACTAAGATCAATCTGTACCAGAATGATGGGGGGAAAAATGTATGGAGAAGGCTTAGAGCAGCTCATGATCTGACTAATACCACATCATCTGAGAAACACGGTGGAGGCAGTCATATGCATAGCACTGGGTCACTAGTGTTTATTGATGATGTGAAAGTGTGATGGAATTCCAGTAAAATACAAGTTTAGCAGGCCAAGATTGCCACAAGGCATATGTAGGTACATGTGTTTGTAGTATCAGTTAGTTAGTTACACGTAGCTAAGATACTGTCATCACTGTACTGAGCATGTGCAGGAATGCAGGAACTGGAATTACGCGTCCCTCTCCTTTGTTTCAGATGAGCCACGTGGTTAGACCAGATGGATGAGTTTAGACTCAATTCATTGATTAGGTTAAGGGTATGTGTGGGCGTAGCTAATTATGGGAGGAGCTACAGTGCTATATAAGGAATCTACTCTATGTATTCAGTGCTCAGATCTTTGCTGTTTTTGGTGACATAAGTCCCTCTGAGTCCCGGTCGGTGATACGAATAAAGATCTCTTCCTTCCTGAAGAAACCTGTGTCCATCTCTCTGTGCTTGGCCTCCGTCAGTTTCCCAGTAACATCTTTGGTGCGTTGGCTGGGAAGCTCGTCGTTAACGGTGGCTAGGAAGCAGAGGCGTGAGACGGTCTGTCTTTGCCCACGTTCTCTACGGCTGCACCCCTGAACTTCTGCATGGACCTCCCTTCGTCTTGGCGCCACTGGTCTGTTGTCCAGGAGATCATCGGCCTCTACGTAGTAAGTACTGGGGTGTCCCCGTCGATGAGTGTGAACTCAGGTTCAGGAACGAGGAGGTAAGACGACTACTGTTTTAGACGGTGGACCCACTAGGGGTATTGGATACCGATTGTGCGGTAGGCCCATAAGGGGTTTGAATTGGAATTGTGTATGGAATTGGCCCCCTCCAGGGAGGGAAGGAGCGAAGGCGCACCGCTCATAATTAGACGCCCTGTAGTCAGCCCGTCTAATCTTGGTATGGAGTCAGGCTGGGTCTTGGTTGAATATATATAGCCCAAGCCGGACACCGGTGTCTTGTCTAGACTAGCGTATCTAGGGTGTACATTTCGTTCGCTAGGTCGGAGGGACCGGGAGACTAAGCAGACTCTGGTGTACATTATCGTTTGCTAGTTCTCAACCTATCTTGGCTAAGTGGGAAGGCGTGTAAATTTGGAACCCACTAGACTATTGATAGAGTAGATAGACTAAAAGGGTATTGTTGTAAATTCCGCCCTCTAGTTCGCTATATGTGGTGCTTGGGCAGCGACGGCTAACCAAAACGGATGTAAATAGTTTTAGGTAGTCCCTCGAGGTACTGTCCAATAGATTAGTTGGGAAACTGTAAATGTGTTAAAATTTATTATAGTAGAGTGTATATCTTGCTGGGTAGCGTGAGCTCCGCCGTCTAGCGAGAGTGTGAATAGTGTGTAACTGTATCATAGCGCATGGTACCATAACCATGTATTATAATCACTGATACTGTAAATAATCACTAATAACTGTCGTTTATATTGTATGTTTAACACCATAACTACTATTAACTGACCTGTGACTTTAAAATTGTATTCTAACCAATGCTAACCGTACTGATGATGTAGATTAATTTAGAAATAAACAAAAATGTTTAAAAGTCTATCTGTTCCTGTCCAAATCTGAGATGAATAAATTGCGTATACGCAGAAGTAAGTTCACACTGACACATGCAGTTCAGGTTAAAAACACTTCAGGAAATTTATTAGCATCTAGTTAAAAAGCGGGCACGCAGGCCTTTTTATATGCAAAATGACATCATCATTGAATATCAGATAATAACAAATAAACATCATTAATTGGGTTAAATGTTAAGTGGCTATGTCAGTGTCCACCCATTAATATTATTAATTGGCTCAGAGATTTGAGTGACTAGTGAGGCACCCTCCCATCATGGGATGTCGTCGCCATTGCTCTTTAGCACGAGGCTTACTCGGTGGAAAGGGGGGCTTGGGCGTCATTTTACGTAGTTAGTGATGTCAGTCTCGTGGTCTGTTCCAAGGTTCTTTTATGAATAGAACATTTCATTTTGTCACTGTTCTCCTGGCCTTGGATTATACTATGTTGCAAGTCAACGGAGATCCGCTAACTCCGGGGCTAGTTATGTCCTTAGAGAGAGAAAATACAATCTCTTATTCATTATACTGAATACTGTCAGGAAATTCTGTCATGTAAGGTGAACAAAATGGAGTTAGTACAATAATTCAATACAGGTTCTAATAAAGATTTTAATAATTCTACATCAGTCCCCCCTATGAAATGTTAGATTCTAAAAGATAATCTTTATTTGTTAGTATCAGAAGACGTGTTAGCCCAAAGGCACAGAAACCCCGTGACCCGCTAGCTAGGTGTTATTGCAAAGTGCAAAGCTGTCCCTTTGTCTGTCCCTAATTGGCTAACTCATCTGTCCGCTGGGCACTCGAACACTTCACTCCATGGGTATCCCGAGGTGGCTAACCCACCACATCTCCGCACGGTAGACTTCCCAGACAGACAGATGCTGTCCCTAAGCTGGTCCCTTCCTAGAACTCTTGCACTTTATCAATAAACGGGATAGATTGTAGCAGTATACAGGGCGAGTTGACTTTTTGGAAATCTTGGTCATCAACTGTGAGGTGTGCGTAAGTGGGTGCCGCTTGGTCTACAGTCTTCAAGAGGAGCTTTCTCAGACAAGGGAGGACACAACAAACGAGAAGAGCAAAGATAAAAAGGAAAATTAGTATTGCTATACCAATATGCATCAAAGCTTTTTGCCATCCTGTCATCCAACCAAACCATCTCTCCCAGGGATCTTTTATCCCAGAGTTCCTCTTTAGCTCCTCAGAGAGCTCTTTCAATTTTCCTATAGCTAAGGTTACTTTACCATTGGGGCCTGTGTTTTCTGGGATGTAAGTACAACATGTCATGGTGTCAGGCAGAATTTTACATACCCCTCCTTTTTCTGCTAGAATCATATCTAAAGCCATTCTATTTTGGAATGACATTTGGGACGTAGCCTGCAACTGTTCGGCCAAACCCTGAAGGGCATCCCTGGTGTAATTAACAAACCGTTGTTGGTTGTAGTAGATGTAATTTATCCAATTTAAATTCTTGTTTACAGTGACTATGGTAAAAAGTGATTCAAATCCTGCAGCAACTTCATCCCTGGCTTTAAACTCATTGGGCACCCCCCTAGGTACCCCAATGGCATCAATGTAAATATGAGGGTCAAAACTGCCTTTTACTGGGGCTTCACGCTTTACCTTGGTTGGTGAGTGTTTGGACTCATGAGTATCGGGGTGTGTGTCAGAGATAATATGTATGGGCATGATTGCTTTAGCCATTCCCCCCACCATTCTTTATCCATTCTTGATCTCAGCTGTAGATCCCCACACAACCAGTAAATATCCCCCAATGATCTAGTGTGGAATTGTAGGAGGTTCATAGAGACAGTTCTGTAGGTGGCACAATAACCTTTAGAGAAGTTACCCACAAATTTACCAATGCCATCATAATTAGCATAACAGGTATAATTACCTTTATAGACGGTAACACCATCTGGGGGTTTGCAATCTTTGACTAGAAGAGGATACTCTACTGTCCATGCTTTACATATGGACCTATTGAAATTGTAGTGATAGGCAAAAAGACTCAGAACACATTCTTCTATATCTACTGGCAAAGTTGAAGGCACAGTGCCCAGGTGCGGCCGGGCACCACCACACACATAGCATGCGGTTCTGTTATGTTTGTTGGTATTATATTTCATCCATTCTAACCATAGATTAACATCATTGAAACCTGTTTCAGCGGCCATGGTATCTTCAAATGTTGGATTTGCAATGGCCATCATGTCTTTAAAAGATTGGATGTGTGGTTTCAACGGATTTGAGACCATGTGGGTGGTCCCTTTCCACTCAGGAGAGTGGCACATATCTTTAAGGTGGAAATGTCCTAATTTATTATAGGAACCCTTCTTCCAGTACATTCCCATTACATACTGGTCTGCATCCGTTGGGCTGGGATGCTCAATGTTTAAGATTAATTTCATAGGTATGCCTCCTCCGGGCTTTCTCAGAGTCATTCTCTGGAGGAGGGACCTACCGTGATCATCAATTTTAGATAAGACACTTTTTGGTTTGTAACCCCAGGCAGGCCCGGCATTCCATCCCGCCGCCCCCCAATGGTTACAGTTGTGCCCCCATTGTTTGTCAACTACACAAACATAGGGGTCTTTTGAATGAGGGATATCTCTATAGATATTCTGAATCTGTGACGTGGGGAATGGGCATTCTATGATGTCACAGTAGTCAAAAGTATAAGTAGCCACACGGGTACATGATGAATTATACCAGAAGGTGTACCCACTAGCATCTTTGGTGATGGCCACCTGCTGGGCTTTAAGGAGGCCAACTAAGGAGATAATGTACCAGAGGCACATGGTTGCATAGAGTTAGCTTCCTCTGGGGCAGGTGTCTTCTTGCAATGGGAAGCGTGGATCCAGTTAGGCCTTCCGGCCAATTTGACAGAGGTAGGGGAGATCAGGAGAACTTGGAACGGACATTTACTGTTTTCGCACAAATTTCTTGACCAGAACCCAGTCATCGGGGAGCAGACTGTGGTTGCCTGTGTCAGAATCAGGATCTGGAATTGAAGAGAAAACTTGGGCATGGATTTTGTTTAAGGCGTTTGCGAGTTCAGTTACATAATCTACTAAGACATCAGTTTGAAGTTGTAGTTGTTGGGGAAAATAGCAACCTAGCCTAGGTGCAGTCCCAAATAGAATCTCATATAGGGACAATGAGGTAGTATTTTTGTACAAGAGCATTCATTAGATCCTTTGATAAATGTGCAGGTCCGTGTGCCCATTGTACGACTGCTGGGTACAAATTCTTAGGGAGGCAGAACTTGAGGTTGTTGGAGTACACTCCATCCTTCAGAACTGCCCCTTTCTGTTTCCACTTCTGTATTTCTTCAGGGGCAACTGTAGCCTGTTGTTCCCGCAGGATTTTTAGGTCAGTTGGAAGAGTCTGCAGAGTAAATATGGGAGTTTCTTCATTTCCGGACACTCTTCTTTCCACTTCCTGTGGTTCTTTTGCAGCTTGTTTTGCAGCCTGATCAGCTAGATGGTTGCCCTTTGCTTCATCTGAGTCCAACTTCCCATGTGCTTTTATCTTCAAAATAGCCACTTCTTCTGGGAGTAGGAGGGCGTCCATCAGCTCCTTGATCGCGGAACCGTGCTTGATTGGTGTACCGGTGGTGGTAAGAAATCCTCTTGTTTCCAAATTAATCCGAAGTCGTGAGCCACGCCCAGTGCATATCTTGAATCCGTGTAGATATTGGCGCGCTTTCCTTCAGAGATCTTGCATGCTGAAGTCAGGGCTTGCAATTCAGCTTCTTGTGCAGACATAGTTGATGGTAAAGATGATGATTTGACAATTTCATCTGTTGTGGTTACGGCATATCCTGTATGGTATCTTCCTTCTTCATCAGCATATCTTGAGCCGTCCACAAACAGGGTGAGATCGGGATCTACCAATGGGTCTTCATGCACAGTTGGTAGATGTGTTGTTTCCATTTTCATCTGTTCAAAACAGTCATGAGGTGTATCTGGGTCGTAGTCATTCACTATGGTTAAATCTTGGAACTCATTCTCCAGGAAATGACGCGGCCATGCTTTTAGGTGGTCAGTTGTTGGATATTTGACAACACCATTTTCCTGTAGCTGTGATTCGTCCATAGTGGCCCATGCTTTTGCCATAGGCCCAAGATCATTCCATGATATTGTTTTCAACTTGGTCACAGGGACATGTGGAATGGCAGTGTCCCAATGACGGTACAAATGCTTGAGTTCCGGAGGTAGATGAATCAAGACCATACTGTTGCCTTCAGAATCACAGTAGAAGTCTTGTGCAGTGAGTTTTACTTCGACCAGATGATAGAGTTCATCTTCATAGCAGGTTTCAGGAGTGATGTTTGATTTGTACCACATGGTACAGAAGGCATATCCTGCTCCGTCATGAAGGAGTGCTTGTCCATCATGAAAGGATAGGTTGGGATGCATTTCCTTCTTGATGGTGCCAGTGAGAAGAAAAACATAAGTTTCGTCCATGATGAATCCGTAGTATACACCCCCTCAGGGAGTGGCAGAAGAGTGGACGGATTGAGAACTTGACATCTTTGGAGGGTAATGTTGTCAGGCAACAAAAGATGACATTGAAGGCGAAGATGCCTAGCAGGAGTAACATGCTTAAGTTGGACCTGGTTGACTATGGCAGAAATGTCATGGGGGCCAAGACAACCAGGGGGTGGCCAAGGACAAGATCTCCAGTTCTTTCAATGAGCTCTCTGGCAGCAAAGACGGCCCGAAGGCAAGAGGGACGTCCTCTGGCCACAATATCCAGTTGGCAGGAGAAAACTCCAATAGGCCCTTGGCGGCCTCCAGGACCATGGGCCTGAGTGAGCACTCCTGTTGCATGGCCTTGTCTTTCAGAAACAAACAATTTGCATGCCACTGAGAAGGCTGTCAATTTGGTGTCTTGAGCAGATGTGGGTGAGGAAAGTAAAGATGCTTGACGTACCTGATCTTCTGTAGCAACAGCAAATCCAGTATGGTACCTTTCCTCTTCATCCACAAACAGAGTGGAGTCAGGATCTGGCAAAGCTACTGCATGCCTTGTTGAGAGGTGTCTTATTTCTTCTTTCATCTGTTCAAAGCAACCATGAGGAGTAGTAGAAGAGATATCCTCACCTATTTCTGTGTGAGATTGAGGGTATTTGTCTTTCCATTTACAGTTGTCTTGCTGCCCCCCCCTCTGTAGAGAGCTGATATCGATTTTTAGTGTTTCATGTTTTATTGAGTCAGGTTCCTTTTATGAGATTTCTGGGGACTTAGTGAAGAAAACATGAGGGGCAGCCACCCCCCAGTGATGATACAGGTGTCTTACTTCCATGGGAATCTGGGTCAGGAC